TAATCCTTTTATACAAATTCTTTGCTTTAATCTAGATTTAAGGGAAAGACAGATAAATGAGTTGAGTAGTTATTAAATTTGTTCCAGTGTAAGCAAAGATTTTGACTCATAAATGACCATTTGATTAATTTGCTTTCAAATCCCTTTCAAACAACGTTTTTTGGGTTCTAAAAAAAAAATAACCCATTTTTTTTGCTGAGACTATTACTTCTGGGTGTTAACATATTAGCGTAATTTATTTAATGAGCATTTGCATTTTGTATCGTAGGCATAAATATGATGGTAGAAGAGGACGTTCCTGGTAATGCATAAACATAGAAAATCACATGTTTGGTATGTGTTGAACTCATCCCTCCATTGATTGCTACAAAATGATACTGAATTAATAGCGTTTTCTTATTATAGGTACATGTTGATCTTTTTATTCCATATTTGCTTAGTCTGTTTGTTACCTTGATTTTATTAGTGGCTGTTGTAGTTAGCAATAAGTTGTATGCATTTTTTCTCTTTTTAGCCATCCTCATTTTTTATTTTTTTTGATAACAAGTCATCCTCATTTTAACAAGTCAACTATAGCGTATTTATTTTTTCCATAACTCATCGAGTAGATAACTATATTTATTTGCATAATATTGATCACTCTGAATAGCAGATTTTTGTTTATGATTGATATTTGTAAAATTCTGTGTCAATGTTGTAGTTTTTTCCACCTGAAATATAAAACAAGATAGCAACACAGATTTTTGTAAGTATAAGGTTTGCAGTGCGATTAACCAACCACAGCGGAAACAAATATTTTGTTCTTTTCCCCCCTGGTATCGCACGGGTAATTCACTAGTTTTGATAAATAACCCATTATAGATCCATTTCATACTACTAGCAAAGATCCGTTAGGATTAGGATTAGGTTAAGATTAAATGTTTATAAAAAATTAAATGATAAAAATGTATCATTGCTGTTATTAGGATTAGGTAAAGATTTTAAAATTAAATGTTTATAAAAAATTTATTTAAAAATCATATCATCATTCATGACTGTTATTAGATTAGGTTAAGATTTTAAAACTAAATATTTAGAAAAAGTAATTTTTATTTAAAAAAGAAATCATATCATTACAGTTATTAGATTATGTTAAGATTTTAAAATTAAATAAATAAATCATATCTCTCTAACCGTGGAACGGTAATTAAGGTGGTAAAAAAATAACAAAAAGAGAATGCTTTGATTTAATCTGAGACATGACTATTTCTGTAACATTAAGTACTGAAGAATTAGAGAAGAGATGAAAAAGGAGGTAATAATGGTTTGTAAATGAGCAATAACTGGGGATTAAAAAGACGGATGACATTCAAATTGCATGTTGCAGTCTTTCATTTAGCATGTCGGAAACATTCAAAATGTACGTGAAACATTCAAAACGACGATAGGATTAATTTATTTTTAATTTTTAATACTTTTTAATTAGTTTAAAAATATCTAAATAAATTAATGCAATTAAAATAGACTTAAACGACGCGTGAGTGCATTGTGTTGCGTATTCAAGGGTTGATTTAGAATCACGTGTCAATGCGAGCCTGTATATGTCCTTCTTACAAAAAGGTGTATAAGACTCTATTAGTTGGTAGTTAAATTTTTTATAATTTTAATAATCAAATTGAGAATAAAGGTTTTTAATCAATTTTCTATGTGTTTGACGTTATAAATATCAACTCACATTTTTTTTAGTTTTAGTTTATACAACTGTTTTAAATAGTTATTTATCTCAAAAATTAAAAGAACTAAATTCGTCAAAATTGAGTGTTATATTTTTATTAAGCATCAAATAATTATTTTTTCCTAGATAAGATCAATTATCCTTTTTAATTTATTATATTTTGTTTTAAATTACTCATTTCATTTCTTTATTTTAGCTGTATCTCTTTATTTCATTTTCTTCTGAATAATAACTTATGTGATTATCTTGAATTCATGATAAAATTAACAATAATATTCATTTGTTCTTTGTAAAAGCCAAGTATTTTAAAATTAAGAGTGAAATCCCTGCAATTTATTATTCGTAAGATTTTAAAACATTAATTTGATTCTTATAAGATTAATGATATTAAATTGATTTTCAAATAATGATTTTGCATGAAAAAATTTAGTCGCTTGAAAAATAATTTTTTAACCATTTTGATGTATGAAAAGGTATTATTCAAATACTAAATCAATATAATAATCTAACTATTAAAAAAATAAATATAATATCTTTAAGAACCAAATTGAGATTTTGAAAATTTTACTCAGAACGAAATGAGCTTTACTCATCTTCCAACATTTACTCATCTTCCAATTGTTATACTGACTTTATTTTATTTAATAGTTGATTTATTTCATTACAAATTTTAATTATTAATTTTATACTAGCAACTTAAATCAGGATCATTTTACACCGGTGTAAGATTAATAAGTCTTACACCGCATCTCAACAGTTGATCATCAACAATTGAGATGCAGTGTAAGACTTGTTAGTTTTACACAAATATAAAAAGATCTCGCCCCATATATATATATATATATATATATATATATATATATGAAAAAATATTTTTACAGTCACTTTAGATAAGGATATACACAACTATCCTAAAAACCACGTCATTTTGATTAATGGAAGGTGTTTCTGTAATTTTAGGTGAATTAATGAAGGGTATTTCAGTCAAATGAATATGATAAAAAAATAAACAAAATTACAGAAACACCCTTCATTAATCAAAACGAATTAGTTTTTGGGATAGCTGTAGATAATTTTATCTAAAGTAACTGTAGAAATATTATATATATATATATATATATATATATAAAAGACAACATAATAGCTGCGAAGATCCAATTCTTTTTGGGCCATTCATTAATGGATTATTATTATGTTTTTTAAAACATGGTATGGAATAAATATTAATATATTAAGTAACTCATTATTTATAATACTCGCTTCAAATATTATTTTTTTGATACACCTATTGCAAAGCCTTTTGTCTGAAGCTAATTCATTCTTGAGTCATGTGATTATGATTTATGATTAGTCTATTTGGAGAAATCTCAAGCTAATTCATGTCATTTTAAAGTGTTTAGATTTATTTGGAGAAATCTCAAGTCAAAAAGTTAGTGTTCAGAAAACAAATATATTCTTCTCAAAGAATACCTCAGAGGATGTGGCAAGAAATATATCAGAAATTTGTTTGTAATTTCAAGAGGGTGAGGAATACTGGGAGATACTTGGAAGCTTGGATGCAACATGGCCGAGTCAATGAAGAATCATACAAGGCAACAGTGGATAGAGTTAACGATAAGGTGAATGGTTGGAAGTCAAATTGCTTGTCTCAAGCAAGTAAAGTCACTCTTTCCCAGTCAGTCCTTGCTATTATTCCTTATTTTCAAGTGCAGGCTAGTGGTCTTCCTAATTTTGTGTATATGGAAATAGAAAAAATTCAGAAAAAATTTATTTGGGGTGATAAAGACGGCAAAAGACATATGCATCAAGTTGATTGGGAAACAATTACTAAACCAAAGATAAAAGGTGGTCTCGAATTAAAGAAGCTTAACATCATGAACGAGGCTTTCATGGCTAAACTAGCTTGGGAGGTCTTTTCCAGCCTCATGCCCTTTGGGTTCAAGTGCTCCAGGAAAAGTATGCTCATGGTAGGGATGGTGTCAATATGTCCAGATCAAAAACAGGGGATTCTAAAACTTGGAAGCAAGTTTGCAATAGCTAGAAAAAGCTAGAAGAGCTGTTAGTGTGGGAGTTTGGAGATGGTAATTCAACATTTTTTTGGAAAGACAAATGGGTTAACAATTTAAGGAGACTTCTTGATCAAACTGTGCAACCAATTGTGTGGGATGAAGCAAATAAAACAGTGAATTATTATGTGAATAAGGAAGGTAATTGGAAGGTGGAGGAGCTTAGAAGGTGGCTGCCACATGATGTCATCAACCAAATCAGAAGCTTTCTTCCCCCGAATTGCAATGATGGTGCTGATAGGCTTACTTAGCATGTCCATGGTTTTCCCTGACTATCAGTTAAAGGTCTTTATACTACCTTTTTGGATCCTGGTAATATGTAGAGCAAGATTGCTGAACTGTGGAAAGTTATATGGAATTGGATGGGACCTCAGAGAATTTGAATTTTTTTTATGGAAGTGAGGGCATGATTAACCGCCAACTAAGAGTAGATTAAATAAAATCAATTCGGGTGATTCAACTTGCCCAGTTTGCAATCAAGGGCGGAAAGTACCTTGCATTTGTTAAGAAATTGTTCAATTATCCGAAATATTTGGATTAAGTTATCTCCTTAATTGGCTGTTTCATTTTTTTTTATCTGAACTTGCAATATTCTTACATATATATATATATATATATATATATATATGGGAAGGATCATTTGACTCCCAGAGTAAGATTAAAAAGTCTTACTCCTCATCTCAGTCTTTGATTTTCGATCATCCAACGGTTATAATTTAATAAGTTACAACAATTAATTAATTATTAATTTCAAATAAATAATAACCGTTGGATGAACGGAAATCAAGGACTGAGATGAGGAGTAAGACTTTTAAATCTTACTCTGCAGTCAAATGATCCCTCCGCATATATATATATATATATATATATATATATATATATATATATATATATATATGTAAGAATATATATATATATGTATGTAAGAATATTGCAAGTTCAGATAAAAAAAAATGAAACAGCCAATTAAGGAGATAACTTAATCCAAATATTTCGGATAATTGAACAATTTCTTAACAAATGCAAGGTACTTTCTGCCCTTGATTGCAAACTGGGCAAGTTGAATCACCCAAATGAGGAGTAAGACTTTTAGTCCAACTTATAAAAACTCAGTTGTTCGAAGTATAAAGCTTGAAGAAGACATTAGTTACAAAACAGATTGAAAATGTACAGGTAAAGTCACCTCATAGAAACATTAATTCCGAAGGAAGTAAGAATTCTCAAAAAAAATATCTAGGATCAAACCAACCAGCTAGTAATTGCTCCTTTGTGTTGTGGAAGTTCTCCAAGTAGCAGCCTTGTCCATCGTAATGAAATTTTCTTGTTTCCAAAGAAAAATACAAAATATTATCGCCATGAACTCGAGGAAAATAAATCCTATTGTGCATACCCATGATCCTTGTCTCTATAGCAAGACACGATAATCGGCTAACTAGAAAAGTGTAATTTCCCAGGCTTTCTACACTTTCCCAGCTCATGGTGGTTGAATTCAACTTTAAAACTTGAACCCATTTTCCTGTGTGACCGACAAAGACTGACGTAACTTGTCCATCCCATTCTAATATGTAACTTAGTTGGTAAGATTCACAGGGTGTTGGATTGTTAAAAACATTCCAGTGAATATTTTCCCAAATGCCAACCCCTTGCACTTCATACTTAAAGACTAGCAAATTTCCTTCTTTACCCAAAAGATAGAAATTTCCATCATGAAAAACAGGAGGACAACTTTGATTCATCAAAAATTCACACTCCAAAAAAAAGGTATGCCATTCTTCCTCTGCTTTAATACCAAGGATAACTCCAATACCTTCAAAACCTTGTTCGAACCCCACAACTAGACATTCTGGAGAAGTAGGAAGAGTTGAGAAACCCATGACATCAGAAATAGTAAATCGATGGGGTACTTCACCTGGTAAGTCAAGTGTAGCCTTGGTCAACGGATTATAATAAAGAATTACATTCTCGCAATCAGACATCATCAGCCAACCATCTTTTACAAAACGCAACTGAGCTTTCGCTAATGTTTCTGGAACTGTCATAAAAAATCTACAGGTATGCTTTGAATCAAGAAAATTGTGAAGTGTCATATCGTTGCTAGGAAACAGGAGCCATGGAAATAAAGAGGAGCCTTCCAATTTTTCTAATGCTTGTTTCCTCTTGAGTGAAGGAACTGCCAACCAACAATCCCTTGAAGCAGCCCGAAATCTCATATGGTCAAACAGGTTTAGGAAATTTGAAATCAATTGCAGAACACCCATTGGAAGGCCATGAAATTTTGTTGTGGCTACCTCAGTTTCTTTCATACTATCTTCTTTTTCGTCAATTTTCTTACTACTCTCAGCACCTTGCTTTTCTTTAGAGGGTTTATTCTCCACCGGTTCATGGTTGCTGGTTAACCTGTAGGGGAGTAAAATATCAGAAAACAAATATGTAGGTGTTTAACATAACCAAAACATGAGGCATATATACTTATAGTATAGACAAAAATTGGGACTATAGTGAATAGTGCAACCACCTGATGTTAGATCTGGGCATCAAAAACATTGGAGAACTCTGAGATGTTGGTAAAGTTGGACAAGGTGAATTAACCTTTAGATGACAGTCTTTCATGTTGAAACAGTAGAAGCAGCAGTTGTCTTCATCGGCTATGAAGTATATGCTATCACATTCTATTCCGTTCTCAGATGATGCTGCATAGGAAATAGCATAGTGTCCATTGAAGAAAATGGCTTGGCCCATTAGATTTGTCACTCTAATCCAAATCATTCTAGTAAAATCCAACTTGAAAGCGTTCACCTGAATAACTTCATTGGATTCTACCCCAATGGCACCATAAGAAATGTAGATACAGAAAAGTTCCCCACGTGATTCAGCGAGAAAACGTCCAATATGCTTTGTGTATGTGCTGAAACTTGGTCCTTTGCATGATAAAGATTCTATAACTAGTTGGTCATCTTTGTCCACCTTGATAGTTGCTAGATTAGAAGACATATTAGATGGCAAAGAATATATTTTACCATTGCAGCACAAACAATCTTCCAAAAAGAAGCTGTCATCATTATCCATTCCCATATCACTGATTAGCTGACCATAAGGGATCTCAACCCACTCCTTCTGTTCAGCTTCTGGTCGAATGAAAATCAGAGATAGATTAGTTGCATCAAACAACATGATCGCGCAATTGGGGTCACCAGGTGGTGATGACACAGTGCAACAATGTAGCGCTTGATCGGGCTTTAAGGAGAGCGGGGGTAGAAGGATTAAATTGGAGTCGGTGGGATTCCAAATAGAGTAGTGAGTCTCTCCTTTACATAGAACCAACCAGCCAGAACAGTAAGCCACAGTTTTTGTAACCCCACAAAGCTCAGGGATGCTCTTATGGAAGATCTCGTGGGGATGCGACAATGAGCAAAAGGTTTGGATGCTATGCTGTTTACCATAATAGACAACCCACGGATAGTGCTCAGAAGGAAGAAGACATTCATGGTTTTTCCATTCCCTGGGTTTCACCATGCTTCTGCTCACAGTACTGGACTTGGCAAATTCCCAGCTGTCAGTATAAGCTTTCCCGAAACCATGATGGAATTTATAGTTATCAATTACTGAATTTTTAAGAGACTCACCTTAACCTTGACAAATGACACAAACATAAACAAACAAAGAGATACAGGAACTAAACATGCACCCCGATAAAAACAAAACAATGCTCTTTAGAGGTTCTATTGTAGCTTCTCGCAAGGTCAGTATTATTTAAGATATGTTAAATTTGGCAGCCAACAAGGAGTAACAAGTAAAAGGAAAAATAATGCAAGACGATGGAATAACTATATCCGTTGAATTAGTATTTTAAAAGACTCCTATATTGGTGATGAGGTTAGTGATTGGGGAATGCAACGACAAATTTTCTTCGAAGGCTAAGGTTATTTGATTTTGCTATTGGATAGAAAGTAGTTGGTGTTTGTTAACTTACATTTATAATGCACGCCAAAAAGAATGAATGGTGCAGATGATGAATCAGTATGAATACTATTGATTCAAGTACATGTGAGAAAGAAATTAGAAATATAGAAGAGTACGGAGTACACACCTCACTGCACTGGTTGTTGAGAGCGTAACATTCATGCAAATTAATACCAATTTATTTTGTAATAGTTGTGCGTAGAGTCAATGTATCATAAACAAAGTAAGGAAGAATTAGTATATCTACAGGTAAGCAAAGTGAAATTAAAGATATCAAAGAGGGAGTTTATGCATCACGATCAAGACTTAATTATTTACCATCCGTATAAGCACATTTAAATTGCAGTCCAATCATAAAGCAGGAAAACGCATAACAATCAGATGGAAAAATAAATAAATAAAAATCATATTTCTTTCACAAGAACATGCATTTTCCATCTGAAAGAAATATGATTGGTGAATTGAGGGAGACGGAAATAGATATCTTTGGAAGTGTTCAGTCTGGTTACCTTAGCTGGGTGAGATGCTAACCATGCAATGGTTGATTCTGATGCTTCGTTGACGGAAAGGTTGTATACTTGCAGAGAAAGAATGCAACGCTCAATTCACTTTCTGATTACGGTGGAATGCGAACCGGATATGAAGTATACCCAGGGATTAAGTCCCTATACTAATAAGCGACTGTTATATGGGCCCAGACCATCTATTCGGTGAGATGACTAAATTATTTTCATGCAGAATTATTTATACACATGCAAAATTAATTCTCAAGAACATATATATGACTAAATTATTTTCATGCAAAATCATTCATTTGAAAACTAATTTAACGTCACCAATCTTTTGAGAATCAAATTAATTTTTGAAAACATTATGAATATTAAATGGCGGGAGTTTTACTCTTAATTTAGAATAACACTAGCTGCTTGTTGAATGATTTTTACATACAGCAAACGAAAATTATAGCTTTATCAAGGCAATCATGCACATAAGTTATTCTTTAAAAGAGAATGAAATAATGAAATAAAAATAAAATAAAGAATTGAAAAGAATAATTTTGTTAAATATAACGACCCGAGAGACATACATATACTAAAATTTCATGTGTTTCAACTACACAACGAAAACTCTATTTTATAACTAATCAAGAAGAATTGCAAAGAGATATACATGATCTGAGAGTTCCTCTCCCACACTAAACTAGTCTATATTACTCGACTTACAACACTTCATGTTAAGCTGGAGCATATAGAGAATTATCTATAACCAGACTTGCCACTTGGCCTGCCGTTGCAATTGCCTTCAAGTAGATATTAATCTTCGCATCTGTCTCTTTACTGGACAACTCTGATAGAAAGCCATAAAGTGAGTCAATCCCTTGGCACCTTGCTGAAAAAGAGTTTTCTTCCCTTTGCAGAGGCGTTTACCTTGTCTATATTAGATGCACAACATTTCTTGAACCAGTTGGTCCTTGGTGAAGTAGAAGGGTCGGTTTGCAATTGCAAGGCCGCAAACTGAAACGTCAGCGATCAGGTCCTCCCACTCTTAATTAATAGTGGCTCGAGCTGTTGAGATTAGGAGTGCAAAGGTCAACCACGCTGAGACCTATGCCCATTTAGTTGATGTTGCTTAGGTCTTTCAATCCATGAAGTCCAAATGCATAATTGGGCTCACAAGCCCAATACTTCAGGAAGATATCATATGAACCATTATTATTTCCAAATTGGTCTAGAGCTATATCAATAGTTACTAATAAGTTGGGCCGGGTCTAGAAACTGACCCAACCCAATTCGACCCTGCAAGGCCCTCTAGGGTTTCTCCAGCTTGCATCAGCCTTCCTAATTCATGGTTGCAGCACAACAACTTCTCTGCCCTCACATAGAATTTCAAGTCCAATGGCTCCAACAATGGTGGTAGGTTGAGCACCACCGTCAGTGGCTGTGGTGATATCGTTTCATGCACCATCTCATCTGAAATCTTCTTCACAGTCATGTATTCATCCTCTATTCCATTTTTCTGAGTTTCTAACGCACTTCGTCCGTTGCATTAAATTTTTTCCCGCAGTCTCTGATCCTTTGCTTCCTTTCCTTCCATAGCTTCCATTTCATAATATCCTTTTCATCAATCCCAGCCTTGTCCTGTCCTATTCTTCCTTGGGATTTTGCTCGGTTTATTCTCAACGTCTCTGTGGTTGTATTTCTTTGAGCATATTGTTTTTGTGGGCAAATTTACAACCACAATTTCTTGGATCAGGAGCTCTATACTAATTGATAGAAATCCACTAATAACAACAATCTACAAAAGAATAATATAAGGAAAATGGATGAAGAAACTGATATTTGTAACTGATTGTGTCTGAAACAATACAAAGAGTCAAGGAAAAAGATACAAGGCTTTGATTAATTGAACAGTACCAAAGAAATTACAGGTAACAAAAAATGAAAACAACTTTGTATAAGGTAAAGATCCCCATAATGATGCAATGAGTGATCCATAAAAATGAACTAGACAAAACAAAATGAAAATCTATTTTCTCCGCAAATTCTAAATCTGGATTCTCTCATTCAAATTCAATTTACCTGAGTCATTTATCTAGTTACCAAAATGCAGGTTAACTTATTGAGGTATGGATCATCACCTTGAAAAGGTATAAGGGTAAAAGGAGGAAAAAACATTTGAGACAGGATAAGACCCTAAAAAATTAAACGCTTGAACTAGCAATGTGTGATCCCTAAAAAAGTAAATTATTAAAGATACTGCGGCCAAAATCATTATATCATTGTAGCTAATAATTATCCATAATCCATATATGTTATATTGTCAATGGAAAACAATAAAAAACAAGAATAGAAAATAAAATATTTACCACAGCATGATCAAGAGAATCAGCCGATGCTTTTGATGATGAGACACACAAGTGCAGACCAACTGCTGCAGCAGCAGTACGTTGCAAGGGTTCAAGCATCTCTCTAGTTAGAGCTGGAAGTTGCCTAAACAAGAAAAAGAATAGCAATTACATCATCTTGCCCAATGTAAATGCCTATTCAATATGATTTATGATCCTCAATTCACCTATTAAGTTTTTTAATTGGCATGGAAGAATGCAAAGTAAAAGGAGGTACGAGTACCATTTAGATATATCGTAAAACCATTACTAGACAGTATAAAGGCAGCCCCTCCCAAGAAAAACACTCATTTCAAAACTAAATGTGAAAAATTCAGATTAGAAAACAACCTTAATAAGGAGCAAAAAGAAAAACTTTTAACAATTTGTTGTGCAACACAAACATTAGCAGTAAGCATAAACTCCTCCACCATTTGGTTGGCATCTCAGATATGGTACATGCCTGAAAATAAATCAAACAGTAGAATTAATTTTTTTTTTGTAGAAACCAACGGGTGTCCAAAACTCTAACAGCTCGACTAATCCAGTTTCGGTTTGCCTCTCCAGAAATTACTACTCTCGGTTCCTTCGATATTATTTGATGTTATTCTTTATTCCCAAAATGGTATTTGACAACAGGGACTCCCAAGGTACTAGTACTAGTAGTAAGTTTGAGAAGAGATGTGCACACTAAGATTGATGTGTTAATGATGGCTAATTTTGATTATACGTGTTGGCAACAGTGTCTTTCGAATCATGTGGGTAGACTGGCAACATGACTCATTCTCGGATCTACGTTCTCTTCCTACTAAATTCAATCATTGAACTTAATAAAGATAAATATGATGAATAATGAAATTTGATACTCGGTCTGATTATGATGAATATTTAAGTTGTGATTATTATTAATGTAATATTGTAATTGACGCTGAGCTGAATATATTAATTGATTAATGGATTCGCTTTTTCTACAGTCAATGTAGATAACTTATCTACAGTGAGCTCAAAACGACGCCGTTTTGAGGCGGAAATCAAGGTATTTTTGTAATTATAATTTATTTCAGGGTTATAATAATCTTTTTCTTTATAATTTTTTAATTTTTCAACCCAAAATGACGTCATTTTGAGAGCAAATGTAGATAACTTATCTACATTCACTTTAGAAACATTAAAGCCTTGATTAATTTATGATTATCCTTAATAAAACATCGTTGAATTGGTTATGCTAATTTATCGAGTTATAATTATTCTAAATAAAATATGCCTTGATTGATGATTGAGTTGATTGTAATTATTGATTAACTTATGACTATCCTCGTTGTGTTATGGATTGGGATCATCAGCTTTTGTTGACTGTTTGTGTTTGTGTGCTGCAGTGATCCTTCGGGGGAGCAAAATTTCAGTGAAACAGGTTGCAAAGGATGGGGCTAGCAGTGGGCAGTAAGTACGGATAACGACTCAAAGATTTCTAAATAGCTCTAGAGTTTAATTATTATTTTTATTTGTTTATGCATAAGATATGCTTCTTTCAGTTGAACTTTAATTGTTGATTTTATTTGAATGTAATAAAGTTAGCCTTACACTTGTTCCTGTACAAGTGCGGCGGTAACATCCCCAAATTAGTTTTAGATTAGCTTCCGCAATAGATATAAGATATTAATAAATAATTAAATGTTATTTTTTTTGAAAATTTCTCTATTATGGAAATATTTTATTGTTGTTAGAAATTTGGGATTGTTACAAAATGGCATCAGATCCCCTGGTTCGGCTGGGGTTTGCTTTTGGTACTGACTCGAGAGATCAAAGATTTGTTAAATTATTTTGTATTAATTATACAAATTTTTTAAAAAATAAATTTTATCTTTTAGTTTATATTTGAATGTATTTTTTAAATTTGTTATATATATATATATTTAAAATATTTGTTATTTTTTTAACAAAATACTTGTATGGAAAGATTTTCTCTTTTTATATTAATTTTTTAAGTTAAATTTTTTAATTTATTTTCTTTTAAAGCATAAACATGTCATTTCTTATTTTTTCAATTAAATTTAAAATTAAATTCCTTTTTTATCAACTATACATATATTTTTATAATTTTTAAAAAAAATTCGTTTAATCTATAATTTTATATTAAATTTTAATTTATTATTATTATTATATATATATTTCAGTTTTATAATTATTCCTAATATATATAATAATTAACACCAATAGAAAAAATAATAAATATTATTAATATGCTTAATAAATTTCCATGCAAAAAGTAGTTAAAAACATTAAATGCTGAACTCTTTTTTCACATATCAAGTTCAAAATTCAATTTTAAAAAATTTAAAATTTAAATATTAAATATTTTAGTAGACATAATAATAAATATTATTAATAGACTTAACAGTTTTCCATACATAAAGTAGTATGGAACATGTATAGAATGCTGCACACATTCTCCAAATTCTAGTTATTCAATCATGAGTCAAAGAAAATTGTTTTAATTACACTCTTACATTAAAAAAAATGAAAGTTTAATTTTGTTCTTATATGTTAAATTAATTTTTTTTTTTTAGTGATTAAGATTTCATTGAATGATAAATGTCAATTTTTATTTTTTATTTCAATATATTATTTAAAATTGTATAATTAGTTTTTCACTGAATGATAAATGTCAATTTTAATTTTTTATTTAAATATATTATTTCAAAGTTAAATTCTTTTGTATTAATTATACATTTTTTAAAATAATTTCTTTCTCTTTAAATTTATAAAAAAATTTATACATATATATTTAAAAAATTTATGTTAAATATGCTTTTAAAAGAACACTTATAATGAAAACTTTTCTCTTTTTGTATTTTTTTAAGTTAAAGTTTTAATTTAGTTTCTTTTAAAGTATAAATTATGACATTTCTTATTTTTTCAGTTAAATTTTAAATTTAAATTATGTTTTAACAAATGTGCATATAATTTTATAATTTTTAATATTTTTTCGTTTAATCTATATTTTTTTATTAAATTTAATATATATATATATATATATATATCATTTTTCCGGTTTATAATTAATCAAAAAAGGTATAATAATTAAGTTCAATAGATATAATAATAAATATTATTAATATGCTTAACAATTTTCCATGTAAAAAATATGTTATAAACAATAAATGCTGAACTCTTTTCCGCTTATCAAGTTCAAAATTCAAATTTAAAATGTTTAAATTTTAAATATTAAATAATTTTCCAGCAATAAACAGAATAGTAAATATTATTAATTGATTTAACAATTTTTCATACAGAAAGTAGTGAGAGATGTGCATGGAAGACTGCGCAAATTCTTAAAAGTAATTGCTTTTAGTTATTCATTCAGGACATAGGAAATTGTGTTAATACACTCATTAAAAGAATGAAAGTTTAATTTCTTTCTTATATATTAAATTAAAATTATTTTTATAGTGATTAAATTTTTTTTTTTTACACAATCATAAATTTTAATTTTAATTTTTACATTATTTTTTTAAGTTACATTTTAAACTTATTTTCTTTTAAACTATAAATATGTCATTTCTTATTTTTTTAATTAAATTTCAAATTTAAATTATTTTTTATCCTCTATACATATATTTTTATAATTTAAATATTTTTCATTTAATATAATTTTATATTAAATTAAATTTAATTATATATCTTTTTTCCAGTATTATAATTAATCTGAATACGTATTATAATTAAGCCTAATAGACATATAATAAATATTATTAATATGCTTAACAATTTTTCCATGCCGAAAGTAGTTAGAAACATTAAATGCTTAACTCTTTTCTCACCTATCAAATTCAAAGTTCAAATTTATAAGCTTTAAATTTTAAATATGAAATATCATTCCATGCAATAGCCATAATAATCAATATTATTAATAGGCATAACAATTTTCAATACAGAAAGTAATGGAAAACATGCATAGAATGCTCGGATATTCCCCAAGTAATTATAGTTTCTAGTTATTCTTTAACGACATAAAAAATTGTATTAATTACACTCTTACGTCAAAAGAATGAAAGATTAATTTCTTTCTTATATATTAAATTAAAATTTACTTTTTTATAGTGATTAA